CCCCAAAACCCCAAAACCCCAAAACCCCGCGAGATAAAGTGGTAATTTGATTCATTAATATTACAAAGATCAAATAATTATTTTAATTAATGAAATAGCTAAAATTGATTAGCTGGGTAAAGGGAATATTATAATCCTTGCTATTTTAAGTGGTTAAGCTTCTCATTATCCTAGTAACTGGCTTGACTTCCCCTATATGGATTCTTGCCTTAGTGATACTGTCCCCTATGCTTATAATTCTACATTAAATCTCCCAAAGAACAAGAGTAAGCATACTAAAATTTATTGAAAAACTAATAATGCAATTTAGCTTTTAGACTTCATTTACAAAAGAACTTTGAAAGCATTATTTTACATTATCTCATATTATGCTCCTGATCGGGATTTGGGACTCATGAATCCTGGGTATGCAGATCTTAAAAGTGAAAATGGGATATTTATTGAGAAGTTAAGAAATATGCTTGATGTAAGGAGAATCTAACTTTACCATCACATCGTCATCACTTTCGCTGAGATTTATACCATGAGAGGACAGAATATATTGGAAATTGGAAGTGGCAGAGGGGGTGGACTATATTACCTAACTAAACAACTGACTCCTAAATCTGCTCAAGGAGTTGATTTCAGCCAAGCTCAAGTAAGTATAATAAAACAACTTTCATGCTTAAATCATGACGTAATCCTTATTTCACTGACATAAATGATTTCTCATTTTATTTTCAGATTGAGTTTTGTAAAAGAAACTACTAGAACTGCGAAATTCTTCAATTTATTAATCATGATTTTGAAAAGTTACCTTTGATAGTGAAAGCTGGATCTCAGGATTATATTATAGATATAAACGCATCAACCTTTTCAAAAAATAAACAGGCTCTCATCCATGGAGTGCATTACAGTCTTGCCGAAGGTGGGCATTTTATATAGGGCACTATAGTAAAAACCAGTGAGTTGATATAATACGAGAGACTACTAAAGAAACATTTTAGAGTAGAAAAAACCTTAGACATCACAGAGGGTGTTTTAAGATCTATAGAGTTAAGTTCTGATTAAACAAGTGATTTTGTAGATAGCCATTTCCCACTTAGTAATATTATATAATATCTTGATGTATCATGTAGTTGCACAATAGTTTATGAAGGATTTTTTCGCTGTTGGAGACTAAAATTAGTTGAAATAGGATTTAAAATAGAAAAAGCTAGTATTCATGGCTTATAAATGTTTCAAGACAAGTTAAAAGTGATATATACTTATAAAGATTAAGTTTGCTTAAAATATTTTTGTATTAAATTTAGATGTTGAAAACTAATATTAATGTTTTGATTCATATAGAATTCTTGTCTAACTTAATTATTAATTTAAATCAAGATAAAGAACGATATGATGATTCTGGATCAGATACGAGATCTCGTCTTTTTGGGAATAGACAATACACTCTCCCGAAGAGGTTTTGACATTGCCAAGAAGACTATTATGAAGAATTAGAACACAATCAAAGCTGCTCTTCCCTATGTGATTGGCTTGATAGCTTTGGCTATGAGCCCAATCTGGGTTACTATGCTAATTCTTACGTCACCATTAATAATTGCTGGTGTGCTGCTATTTATGTATACAAACGTAAGACAATTTCTAGATAATCCTTCTATTTGTGATTCATTCTTTTGTCACATGTTCCATATTTAAAGAATCTAAATAATGATTATAGGTTTTCAACCCATTCATAAAGATGTGGTTCAAGTTTATGTTTAGCAGTCTGACGAACCACTACTAGAAGAACGATCTTGTCATCCTTAATGTGGGCTTTGCTGATCTAGAATCAGAAGATGGCCTCTACATTAAAACAATGAAGGACAAGTTCGATGCCTTCCGTTTCTAACTCTATCACTACATTGTTATGAGATTCGGAGGAGTCAACAGTATGAATGGTCTGAGTCTTTTAGAAACTGGTTGTGGTAGAGGAGGTGGACTCCATTACCTTTCTAAAGAGCTTAACCCCCAAAGTGCTTTAGGAATAGACTTCTGTCAGGCTCAGGTATGTATATCTATAAATATATCAATGCATAATAGATTGACTACTGCAAGTAGCATTGGTTAGGAGACAAGTTAAACATCAACTTCATTAAGCACGACGTCGAGAAACTCGATGCATTAGTCAGCAGAAACTCCATTGATTATGTAGTTGATATTGAGAGTTCAGTTTTCTATCCAGATAAAAATGCTTTTTACAGATAAGTAAGCCAAGTTCTTAGAAGAGATGGAGTATTCCTTTATGGAGTAATGATGTTCTCCTTCCAGGTCAATAATTTCGAGAAAAACCTCGAGAAATACTTTGACATTGAGAAGAGGGAAGAAATTTCAAAAGAGGTGCAGAAATCATTGAGAATAGATACTCCAAATGTTTCTGACCTGATCGAAAACAACTTCCCAGTTTGTAAGAAATTTACTGATAACTGTAATAATTATATTATATAGACACTCACTGGATACTAAAGCAATCATTTGGAATAGAGGGCACCTATTTCTTTAGAATGATGGAGAACAAGCTTGTTGTTTACAAGGTGTACTTGTGCAGAAGAAAGAAGGCCAACTGAATACTAAGTTGAGGATCAATAAATTCCGATAGAAATAAGAATCAATGAGTAACAACCAATTTTGGAATTTTAAAGTTAAGATTTTTGATTAAAAATTTGCTTCTCTAATTTAGATCATGAAGTGAGATCACGGGGTTTTGGGGTTTTGGGGTTTTGGGGTTTTGGGG